GAAGTAGAAGGCGTAATTAGAATTGTTGAATTAGACTTGTTGAAAGGTTATTTATTGCTGCTGCATTGGAAGCAGTGGAGACATGTTGGTCAATCTGATATTTTTTCGAATAAGGTATTCGCTTATTGCAAACTTTGCAGAAAATCACAGCGCCATCACATGTAAATTGACCTGGGTAACCTTTGATCCAAGTTTCCATTAAAGTCTGGGAATTCTTTTACACCGGCGGCATCGTCGAAATAAAAACAACACTTCCGTAGATACACAAATATAGGGGTTAACTGAATGCGCATGGCACAAATTGTAGAAATCGCATTGTCTTATCTCTGTTCCCGTCTCTCTCATTGTCGACCGGAATAAGCACAGGCTTCGTTACCGAAATAAGCACGATCGACAAGGAAGTACTAATTTATGCAATAACGCTATAAATATGGAGTTATATGCGTTTGCATATGCAGATATGGAAGTGCATATAATTCGATGTCTAGTCATCACCTTGAAGTTGGAGATTGATATCATTAAACAAATTTAATTATACAATGTACGCAATATCATTCTTTGATGTGATGAGGTTATCGTGCAATTCTGTGTCTTTGTTTTCCAAAAACACTATAACTGAGTTAAAAGATTATAAAAACGAGTCAAACAAGTACCTCTTGATAGCTAACGCACTTCTGTGTGTAACAATAATCGGTTAAAGTCTTCGTTTTTATTAAATAATCTGTCATTTAAAGAGCTGTTGCGGATTTTATTGACTGCTTTGATGACATGTTGCAGTAATTGGGACAGCCGTTCACTCAAATTCCTCGCAACCACGCGTTATTTTTCACGTCTGGAACTTTATTTTTTAAATATGCTATGAACCCTCTGATATAATATTCTTCAAGGGAATTTCCTTCTCATAACAAGACTTTCCTAGTGCATTAAATATTGTTTTTCCTTTTGTATCTGTCTCTAAATTTCTAGCAAACAATAGTTCTTCTCATGTTTTCTCGTCTTTAATAAACCTCACATATGACAACAACAATGCTTCCTTGGTCAGCAAACTGGACTCATTCAACTGAATAGAATTAACTAGTGTTCAGGTGGTTGCACAATGACTCTTCTATGTTTTTAGCCATCTCATCAATTCATCTTTGTACGGAACTGTTACTTAACCCTAGAATAATAACCCACGTAAAATTTACCATTCGATAGTGACGACAGTGTTGCCGATGGAGACTATGTTCCCGATGAGCATGAGGAAGAGCTGTATCAAACCGAACTAGAAAGTGCCTGGAAACCCAAACAAAAAGAGTTTTCAGTGACAGTCTCATTACAAAAAATATAATCTCTAACAGCCATCAACATCCCGACAGGCTCTATCTGAAAATCAAACATCAAAAGACGTTTATGTAAGTTCAAATAATCCTATATATTTAGGAAGAAGTGGTCAAGTGTGAAAAAGTGCTCTCGTAGTTAACGCAGGCGGTAAAACTCCAGCTAAAATATTTTATATATTCGAGCTAAAAATCTTATAGAAACTACTGATATTTTCAGTTTGTTTTTCAGCGAAGAAATTTTAAACGAAATATTAGTATAAACGAATGAAAAAAATGCAAAAATGCGATACAAATACAAGGTTAAAAGTGTAACAGTTTTAAACACAACACTGACTGAATTGAAAGCAGGACGATTGCTTCTTTCTGCGGTTCTAAAAAATAATCATCTATCAGCCAAGCTTTTGTTTGATGCAACCTATTCGGGCGAGAGATACAGGGCAACAATGAGTAGAAAAAGATTTAACTTTCTAATAAATTCATTAAGATTTGACGATTCAGCAACCAGAGAGGAACGCAGACAAAGGAACCAATTTCCAACATCTGGGATATTTATATTGCTAACTGTACAATCAATTATAAAACCAGCGCTTACATTACCATTAATCAACTTATCAACTTATTGGATTCCTGAGTAAGTGCATCAAAATTGTGATTTTCTGTGATGTTGCCACCAATTACGTAATAAATGCAAGTCCTTATCTCGGAAAATCTACAAAATTTGTCCGTTAGCCAATTATTTTGTCAGAAGTTTGACAACACAGCTATATGATAGTAACCGCAACATCACAATGGATAACTGGTTTACCAGTATTCAATTGGCCACGAAACTACTGAATAAACCATACAAACTAAGAATAGTTGGCAGTCTCAAACTTCTGTGTTTGCATTTGATGGTAAAATGACTCGTGTGTCTTACAAAATAAAATATTTTTTTACTTTCGACGATGCATTCTGTAGACTCTATAAATCAAGAAACAAAAAACCGGATATAATCCACACCTATAATGCGACAAAAGGAGCTGTTTAGGAGCTTTGTTTATTCTACACTATGCTCAACATTGCAGCAGTTAATTCCCATGTCATATATAACCATAATGCAATAAAAAGGAGACCGAAACCATTAGCAAGGCAAGAATTTGTTCTTAAACTTCAAGCACAACTCACCAGACCATGGCAACAAGAAAGGCTATAAAATTGCTCCTCCCTGTCAAGAAAATTGAAAGAGTTTCTATGTCAAGTTTTACAAGATCAGCCTATTGCAGAGAATCAGGAAACCCCTCAAGTGAAAGGGAAAATAAGTTACTGTAGTTTATGTCCTACAGTAAAAAAGAGAATGACGACAACCATTTGTTATGTATGCCGTCGCGCATTGTGTAGTGAACATCAAATAAAAATATGTATGAGCTGTAGCCAACAAAATAAATGATTAATCTTCACTTGTTTGCATTTATCTTCGTTTATTTGCTTGTTCTTGAACGTTTAATAAAAAAGTCTTTTATTTGTGTCCACTCTAACGAAAACTCTAACAAAACTTTACGAAATGCTCAAGCTTAATTTCGTTTTCTTTTCTAACTATATACAAGTTAGAAAAAAACAAAATTAATAAAAACATTCATGAGCCAGTGTAATATTTTCTTCCACAACAGCTAATTCATGAAAACGTAACCATACAAGCATGAAAAACGATGGTACATAAATTTGACGTGTCGTTAGTATTAACGAACAAACAACATACCGTTAGTATTCTAGGGTTAAAGGATTTTTTTAAATAACATCTGCCGCTGGTTTAGAAGTTATAACTGGGCTTCATACAGTTATAACTTCTTTTACTGCTGGTAAAATTAGTTCCTTCCCTATTGTGTGTAGTTTTCCTGTTTGAGCAATTAACAAAGAGATTTTGTACGAAGCATCATCGTCTTGTTTAAAGCCGCTGAAAAAAGTTTTGAGGCAGTTGACTGATCTGCGTACTTCTTTTTCAGCTCTTGAAAATAGGTCACAGTTTTGTCTTTTTATCAGAATGTATTTTGTTCAAATCATCTTCTAAAGTAGAATGACACTTTTTGAGGTGATAAAGGAACGTTTGAGATTAGGTTACACAACATTTTAAGTTTCCAGACTGAACAATTTATTTTGTATGGTACATTATTAAAAATCACACTTATTTTGATGTTTGTTAAAAGTGTGGTTAAAAAAAAACTTTTTTCCCCAAAACTGTTAAGATTAAAGATTTGAGCTTTGGTTATACTAAATTTTAAGAAATTAATTGTTTCTATACGTTATAGACATTTGATTTCAATCAATAAAACAAACACTACTAAGTTAGTCAACTCTCCGTTCTCCTTGAAGCTTGTTTCGCGCTTGGATGTTTACAAAATAATTAATTAGGCTTAAACGACAGATGCCACGTCGTCTTCCCAACTTGTACTAAAATCTCGGAGTAATACTGAGTGCTTAAATAAATATCCCCAGCTAGACAGGATGACATCCTGCAACACCCCATCTCATCACTATGTTTATTTCGGACCAACCGACGTGCTTTTTGCCTTATTACAGTTGAGTTTGTTATATTTTAGTTTTAACAATTGAACGACCTGGTTTACTTAGACCAGGTCTCGTTAGAAATGCAAATAAGGGTGCAACAACAGTTTCTCGGATGAACTGCGGCAATTCATAATCTGAAAAGCGCCCTATTGTCCCATAAACGATTGTTCATAATCAGCTCGCAAAGGCGAAACCCTGATTGTTCGTCGTCACAAAAGAGGGCGCCTTTCCGAATCTGCTTCTGGAGATGAGATCCCTTTTTACGCGGACAAAGCAAGAAGGGATGTGAGCACATTCCCGTTTGCCTGTTTTATGAATTCGAATTTTCAAAAATTAAATTAAGCCGGGACGGCCTACCCTTTGCGAGTCAGAAACGATAATGCACATTCGTTTGTGAATTAGTGAATACGGAAAAGTATACATATTTATGTCTGGAAATAAATTTTGAGTTGAATTCTAGATAGGCGTGATTCCCTGCACCTCACTCCCACTTTGGTGAACTGTTGATACAACGCTTCGAGGAAAATCCTCTTGTTTATTTAATTGGAACGTAGTCAGGCACTTAAATTGTACTGCAGGCGAGTGTTTTGTTAAGCACTTCACTGTCTATTTTGTGGAATTGTTTTGAAGCTCCAGTTAGTATTCGGTAACTAAAGAAGTCATTGATGGAACAAATTAATGGGAATTTATAGTCAACTGGAATTATTATGACTTTTTAGTAAGGATTTGTGGTCGATCGAATACAGAACCCATCCCTTCTCGAGTGGCAAAAGTTAGTCGTAAAACAGATGGCCATCATGAAGGTTTAAAAGCATACCTGTTTACTGCGTCATCCCATCGTTAAACTTCTTCTGTTACTAGTGTATTTCCGTCCGTGGTTTACACTCTTACAAACCATTACACTCGTATTTTTAAGTACCCATTTTATACTTTTAAGCTTCAAAGTTGCTGAATTTCTATAAATAACAATTCCGTATCATATAACATTTTATGTATTTGAAATGATTTTAATAAAAATGGGATATAAGATAAAAGGGTCTTCAAGATACATTTTTTATTTGTATCTATATAAAATAGGAAACTCGATATTTTTGGAAATGGCTGTTGAGCTTATTTTCTGTTCCCTTATGTTTCTAGTCGCCCCAGTTTGTACGGATCCAGAAGTGACTGTAATAGGAGCATCTTTGGACGAGGTCCTTAAAGTGAGGTGTCACGTATCAGCTGACCCGAGCGATGTGACATTTATATGGCAGTTTAACAACAGTGGCGAGAGCTTCGACGTGAACCCGATCAGGATTACCACTACAAGCGGAAACACAAGCGAGCTCATGTACACACCAACGAACCAAAGGGATTACGGGACGTTAACGTGCACTGGGAAGAACTCAATAGGACACCAGTTAGAAGCGTGCGTGTTCCAAGTAGTTCCAGCTTGTAAGTACATTTACGATATAAACTGAACAATATTATTGCTTGTTGACCCAGTAATATTTTGCGACTTCTTTTAACTTATGACCAACAAAATGAGGTCGCCATTAACCGTTATTTCCAGCTTAATGTTTCACGTCGACAACTAACGGTCTGGTTAATAGCGTCGCGCTTTGATTATAGCCAGAATTACTGCGTAAAAAATCTCATTACTTAATATAATACTGCGAGCAGTTTACTCGCGATATAATAAAACTGTAGCCGGCCCGACAAGGGCGGACCGGTTGCCGCCGGTTTGTCAGTCGTAAATTAAACATTAACGGTGACTTAATTAAACTGTCGAATCAACATCCCCGCTGTTGACGTAGCGCCTTTTATTGAAGTTTTTAATAACGCGAGTTATTGCCGGTCGAAACACCATCCTAATTTCCACCTCAGAAAAGGTTTAAACGCTTGGTCTGACTTTATTCTCAATTTCGTTTAGTTTTTGTATTGCTGCCCATAAAACGCCATTTAATATAGAGTGACAATACCGGTCGGTATATGAAGAGAGAACTTTATTCTTCAAATTTTATAATTTAACAACTTTTTGTTTCCTAATCGTAGTCGCATTTTTGACTTTGATAGATTCTAATGCCTCGCCCGTAAGCAACCTCGAAGGATAGTGGGTGAATGACTTCTTTTAAGAGACTTTGAATCTTTACCAAGACATACAGAAAACGATTTACCAAAATACATGAGGAATGATTTCACTTCAACTCGCTGAGGTCGTTTACTGGCGGGGCGCTGGATTTGGTATAACAACGCAATTGTCAACAATTGAATGGTTTCGTGCAAAAAGTCCCTAAGTGACATTTTCTGGCTTTGGTACTCTTTGCGTCATTTGTTGCAAAATAGCATATACTTTCATTTGCTGTAACAAAATTCTAATATGAGTTTGTACACTGGCTATTTCTTTTAAGAAGTCCCTATGTTGGAAAAAGTCCCCATGTTGGAAAAAATAGTTTCAGTGCCCTTACCGGTATCATATTAGTTTAAGTTTAGTACATTGTCAGTAGGTCAACGCGCCATCCAACGTATGTTTCTTCTTATTGTAGTAACACGTATTATGTTTAGTGATGAATGGCTTCCGCCCGAAAGAGACTGAGGAAGTTAAGAACGTGAAGAAGAGGAAATCAAATCTAACGCGATGTGCAAGAGAACAGAAGAAAACATAGTTAAGAAATTCTCGAATACAATATCAGATTCCGCAGAGTCGCTGTAAATGTAAGAATAAGATATTCGCCGCATGTGGTAAGAAAATATTTGTCACTTTCCAAAAGCTAAGCCACAGTGAGCAAAATTTGTATTTACGCGGTTGTCTAATAGCAAAACCGGCTACTCAGCATGTTAATAAAAGTAAATCACCCAGGAACGTTTCTGAATACAACTAAGGGACAATCTGTTATTATTTGTCAAAACATCGAACATCTAAGAAAAAAGATTTTAAGTTTGAGATAGACGACGTCACTCGTAGAGATGGTAGAGGAAAATATCCTTCTCGAAAAAATAAAATATCGATAGACACACTGATGAAAGTTAATGATTTTTTAAAGCACTTGCCAGCAGTAGAATCCCGTTGCAGCCGTTCGCAAAACAGATACAAGAAATATTTAAATTCTGACCTTACAATATCTCAACTCCATAAGGATTATTACGAAAAGCTCCCTGATATACAGTAAAGTATGGAATATTTAACAAGGTGTTTAATCAAGATTTTCACTATTCATTCGCTCATCCAGGAAAATATGTAGTATATGCACAGTATGCACCAGGTTTTTAGCTGATCTTATTTCTGCAAAACACAGAAAGGACGAAAACGAAATACGATCCCTACGAAATTCCATCTTCAACGAGCACAGGACTTCTTTGATATACCTACTTAAAGAATGTTCACCTAGGAATGAACTAGTTATATGTTTTGATTTCCAAAAAAAGTCTGCCTCTACCCATAACTAACATTGGTGATGAATACTACAAGAGACAGTTTTGGCTTCATAATTTTGGCATAAACAATGTTGTGACTAATCAAGCCAGCATGTTTGTCTTTACTGAAAATTTTGCAACAAAAGGTCCTAACGAGGTGATATCATCGATAGGTTATTATGTAAGGCAACATAGGAAGGAAAATCAGAACAAGCTCACCATTTTTTATGATAACTGTTTTTCTCAAAACAAGAACAGATTTTTGTTTACTTATTTAGATTCTCTTTGCGCATCGGGAATATTCACAACTGTGGTATACTATCTAGTACCTGGCCACTCCATGATATCAGTGGATCGCTGTTTCGCACTGATTGAGAAAAAGCGACTTAAGACAGAAAGTGTTGATAATCCCACTATTACATAAAGCTCATACGGAATACTCGAACTAAAGATGCTTTTGAAATAGTGATGCTAGAACATAGTCTACTAACAAAGTATAGTACCATTTCAGAAGTTTTTGTGATTACCAAGGGTGGTTATAAACGGTTCTATGCAGACTAAACAAAGCCATCAATACCTGGTATAAAACAAAAAACCTAAAAAACCAAAAACCAAACGATGACAGAAGAGTACGCCAACTTTGTTGTATATAAAATAGAACACCCAAGATGCCGTAGCAACATTTTGCCGAACACGACGTACACAAATTTTTTTAAAATCAAGGAAGAAAAATTGAAGAACCTTTCTAGTTGCGTATATTGAAAAAGAAGAAAATAGAGAATTTTACGAAATACTTAATGAAGACTCAGAACAGAACCAAAAAAATGAAGATGGGGAGACAGAATCGGACGTACAAGAGTTCGAATAAATTTAATTAGTTCGTGTTTTTGTTTGTTTACTAGCTTTATTGTGTTAGAATCAGCTAAATTTAATAAACAATTCCTCTAATATACATTTTGATTAATTTTGTTAAAATGTCTCTAAGTTAAAATCGTTATCATTTTTGTTCTAATAGAGAAATGTATTTCTTTCTGTAAAAATCTTTAAGAAAGTAGTTACAATTGCCCAAGATAACACCCTTAAAAGATTAGTCAGATAATATAAACAATAATATTTCCAGAATAAATTGAAAACAAAAAACCGAAAATTCTGAAAATGTGTAAAAGCTACTTAGGGACTTCTTGCACTAAACCCTTCAATTCCAGATAATTATATTGGTAACTTGCCTAAATTGCTTCGTTAACGACGATACTTCACAGACTTTGTGGGAGATTCATTGCTTCCTCTCGATTTATCTTTTTTTTTACATCCCAAGATCAATTGGTAAGGTGAGCACAATAATGATAATTTTATTCCACAGCGAAACCGAGCCCATTGAGTAATTGCACCCTAAGGGCGGCCGCTAATCAGAGTTCGGACGCTTTGGAAGTGGAGTGTCGTGCAGGATACGACGGCGGTCTTCCCCAGAGGTTCGTCCTGGAAGCATATGACTCATACACGATGCGGATGCGATTGAACATGAGCAGCTCAAACACAGAAAACCCACTCTTCCGAATCGAACTCGGGGAGTTGGTGCCTCCCAACGGAGACGGCATTCCCCCCACGCTCAGAATATTGGTCTACGCGCAAAATGCCAAGGGACGAAGCGATAAGGTCATCTTGGAGGACATTACGTTGAATGATGCCGAAAAACGTACAGGTATGATTTATGAAATAAAAAGTGTTGAGTTTATATATGAAGGAAACACATCTTTTAGAACTTTTTCGAGTTAACACTAAGAATTTAAAAAGTGTCTTTTTGTTTTATATTGACTTGTCGATAATAAAAGTATACGATTTAGTTTAAGTATTCAACAAATTTATCAACTATCGTTGTTTAAACTTAAAGACACGTTTTAACTTCAAGTACTCGCAGTATTTTTTTAATTTTACTATTTTTAAAGGTGCACTAAGTCATTTAATTTTACATATTTTATATTTTACGTAGAATACGAAACTTATTTCGTATTCTATTAACTGATGACATAAAAAAATTTCTTTTTAGATTTAGGTTTCATTTAATTTGCTTACTTTGCTCATTTATATTTATACCACTTTTCGTGGGGTTATAAAACAAAATCGGGGTTTTGGGTTTCAGCATCAACAATGCTGAAATACATAACATTCGGGTTTAGGCGTGAGGATATTAAGACGGCTAAACCAGAATGTTTCTAGTTCTAGTTTTAGTTTAATAAAAATATACAACTTCGCGTTGAATAATAGCTAAAACTGGAACTAACATTAACTAGAAACATTACAAATGGGTTAATTCTATAAAACAATAAATATAGACTCTAAATATGGTAATGTTGTTACATAGATGTGATCTCTGTGGGCCAACACTTATGAAATAATAAAATTATAAGTTAACTTTAAAATAACATTTTTTATTGATCTATTGTCTTGTTGTTTTTATTTATATCAATTCAATTTTTTAGTTATCTCATCATCAAAAATGAAAGTTGTTTTCACCAAATCGAGGTTTACATTTAATTCTTTTTTGCTTGTCATTATAACGAAAAGTTTTGAGGTTTAATACCATCGATTTTAACAAATACAAAATTTGACTGGTTTAATGTCAGCAAAAGATGTTCTTAAACTTGATAATAATGGTTCAGTTTCAATTGATGGCTGGATACGTATGAAAAATTCTCCCGGTATTCTGAGTGGCTGACCATAAACCAGTTCTGTTGATGAACAACCTAAGTCCTCTTTCAGAGATGATCTGAGACCAAGTAGTATTAAAGTTAAGTTATAGTGCCATCTAGCGGAATTACCTTGGGCAATAATCGCTGATTTCAAAGTACGATGAGATCGTTCTATCATACCGTTACTTTGTGAGTGATAAACGGAGTATGTATTTGATAAGTACCTAAAAGTAATTGGAATTTTGAAAATAATAGTAATTCGAATTGTCGTATTTGATCGTTAGTGATCGTGGTAGGAATACCGAAACGGCTGAAATAATGCCTGAAAAGAGTATCCGCAATAGAGGTTGCAGAAATATCTTTTAGTGGAACAGCCTCTAGTCACATCCAAGGGATGAATCGAGTGGGTGAACCAAATCAATGTGTATGTGTTCAAATCGAACTTTTGGAATTTTGATTTTGAGAATTGGCGATTTTGTATGCTTTTGTATTTTTACTTTCTAGCGTTGTAAACATGATTTTGTCGAAATACGAATTTGTTTTGATATATGAGGCCAAAAGAATTTTGTTTTTATTAAATGAATGGTTGCTCGTAGCGTTGTAGGTTGTAGCAATAACTGATAGGGAGTAGTGTGAGTAAGAAAATTGTTTGTGTATTAGTTTCGACAATTCGATATCTGTGAGTTGAGCTTTGTAAAGTGTAAGTGTGTCAAGGTACTGAGAATTAAGTGTTTCAATATTTGTTCTGGACCAAGTGTTTGCAACAATATTGGAACTTCCCTTAATGTATCTCACATCGGATGTATATTGTGTTATGTAATTTAGGTACCTGGTTTGTCTTGGTGTCTTTTCTGTTGTTGAAAAAATTGCTGCAGTTAAAAGTTTGTGGTCGGTAAAAACTGTAAAATGGTTTCCATGTAAGAAATGATTAAAAAATGTTATGGCAGAATATATTGCCAATAGTTTTCTGTCGAAAATTGAATATTTAACTTGACTCTGAGAAAGTTTATGTGAATAAAATCCTAACGGTTAGGGTCTTTCATCGATAATTTGGCTCAGAACTGCTCGTAAGTAAGTGACAGTGAAGCATGGGAGATGGATAAGCCAGAACGGTAGATTTTCTTAGATCTTTAGCTGTTGTGAAAGAAATTTCATGATCGCCTGACCAAGAAATTATTAATTTTTGTTTAAGTGAATAAAGTGATGATAAAAGATTATGAAGGGGTGATAAAATACTGCAAATATAAGTACGAAGGCTTCCACGGTCGGTGTGAATTGAACTAAAACTAGAACTATCAGTTGAAACTTTCGGGTATTGCCGTGCGTCTTTTAAGAAAAGGTTTGAAGGCCATGTTGCAACCTTCTTCAGAAACTGGTTCGAAGTCACTTCGCCCAACCCAACCCAACCCAACCCAACCAGTTTCTGAAGAAGGTTGCAACATGGCATCCGGAACGTCAAACCTTTTCTTAAAAGACTCTAATGTTGGTTCCAGTTTCAGTTCAAATATTGCAAATGTTTGGAAAAAATCTATGAAAAAATCTTTGTAGTTCCTTTAAAGTTTTTGGTTTTGGAAATTTTGAAATACATAGCATCAATCCTAGACTTAGAAGGTTGAATACCATCGTTAGTGATATGATGACTAAGAAAATCTATGGAAGTAACTCCAAAAACACATTTAGATGGTGGATCTAAATAATGTTCTTGTTCGTTATGACTTGCAATGAGAATGTCATTTAAATAAACGAATAAGAAGTTGAGATTCGAAAGAACGTCATTTATAAATCTCTGAAAGGTCTGAGCAGCGTTACGGAGGTCAAAGGGCATACGGGTAAACTTGAAAAGACCAAAAGGTGTGGTGATAGCTGCCTTAGGAATGTCGTCTTCTTCTAACGGAATGAATTTCTTACTAAATCCACTTGTGAAATAATTTTGCATCTATTCAAATGATGAAGGGGATATCGATCCGAAATAGTAACGTTATTTAATTGTCGATAATCTTTCTTGGAGACTATGTGTAGAAGCGATGCTGTTGAAGAAGAAGAGGGTCGACATATTGCCATGACTACCATATGTTCAAATACCCTTTTGGCTATTGCGTGTTTATGTATATCTAATCGTCGAAGCCGATAAAACGGTAAATGGGAGTTAGTTATAATTTTGTGTGTTGTCTGATGTTTGACTGGTGAAGAAAAATCCGGTGTAAAGGTTAATTTTGGGAATGATCTTAAAAGAGTTGTAAAGGAACTGTACTCGTAGAGGATGTAAGTGTAGCGTGCTATGACATGCCAACTAATTGGATATTAGAAAAACAAAAAAGGTGAATATAGATATAAATAAAAACAACAAGACAAAAGGTCAATAAAAAATGTTATTTATAAAATTACCCTATTATTTTATTATTTTACAAGAATTGGCCAAACAAGACCACAAAAGAAAGAGATATTCTCACTTATGTAATAAGTAGATAATAATAGTATAGTATAATAATAGTAATAATAATATACTATATATAATAGTAATAATAATATACTATATATAATAGTAGTAGGCAATAGAAGTGAAGTTGAATAGCGGAAGTCTAATAGACAATGGGAAATGTCGCAAAACTTTAAGGAGGCATCCTCCTGCATAATTGGACGTTCCAATAAATTGCGGTTAAACTTTATAACTTGAGGCGCTTAGAGGTAGTTTCCGACTAGAACTTTTGCAATCGCTGAAATTTGTCTAGTGGCGAATGCCTCCTTGACAAACTGAAAGCATATTAGTCTATACACAGAGATATAGTAGATTTGCAGCGTGAGTTGCGGAAAATGGGATACGGAGTGATCAAAGGCGGTACACTGCAGAAAGTGTTTCATGGGAGCTTTTAAACCGAAGATGCACTTTTGGGTCATATCACAAAGGGCGCGTTTTCCCTGAAAAATCGCCGGCCGACTACAAAAGCATAGCCCGGGGGCGATGTGTTTCGCGTATCTCCTGGAATCCAGAGCATTTCATATAGGTAACGGGCTTAATCTATTCCCGGGGTCCAGATGGTGGCTTTTTCGCTGCACGGCCTCTCAAAAGTAACGGCCCGGGGCAGAGTCCTTCCTGCTAGGCACTCGCCCCACTATACGAATACAATGGAGTGCATTACGTCCGGTTCACTGCTACTCCTGGTTTTCTTCCTTTACCAACTCCGATAAATTCCCTTAAAGGCACACGTTCATAATTTTATAGAATAACATGCTACATGAGTTACATATAGAGGTATTTTAAAATTTAACACCCAGATTCCAGTTTTCATCTTGATAAGAATCTCGAAATACGTTCGTGTGTAAACTCACATTTTACCATCCATTTTTACTGTCGCCACTTGAGGATTTACGAAGGTACGTGACGACGTGAAGGGCCCGCTTTCTACTCGTGTTCTACACAACCTGAAATTAATTCTGTGAGGAACCCTACTGAAGGTATTAATACGTCTCTAGAAGATTAAGCGTACATTCGTTACACGATTTATTCTTGTTTTATTATATAGAATGTAGTTAATATCTTTTTTCTTAAATTTTTTAGATGGAAATGGTAATATAAGTATATTACCATTAGCAGCATTACTAACAGGATCTCTTCTTACGTTGGGAATTGCCATCTTATTGATCGTAGTTCTCGCAATACGAAGAAGACATCGTCACTGTCCTGGGGCGCACTGCAATCACCAAATAGACGGTGCTAAGCAGCCGAAGATAACCCCACAAGCGTCAAGACCGAGTTCTATGTTGGAGATCAATACTGGCGATCACCGTTATGTTGTAGCTTATACGTTAAAGCCCGTTTCCGATTGCTCGACGCCGGTTAACACCGGCGGAGACCGTCAGCCGGACATTCTCAATACACCGCGTGGTAAGTCCTCGTTTATTAATAATCAAAATTAGCTGTTGTGTTGTGGGGGTCATTTAAAAACGATTGAATTAATTGAAATATCAGAACTGTTATGATAGTTCATAGGGTGTCAACTAAAAGCAATTGCGGAGTTGTAGCCGTGAAACTAATGCACCAGAAGACACATAACGCTACGTCAGCGGGAATATGAGGAACACAACGCAACGTGAGAGAGCGCACCGTCTCCGTGCATAATGGATGTTACGGGTATAACAAAGCGATTTATTTAAGCCATGAAACCAGTCCAACGGGGGAGAATTCCCTTGATGTCTAGTTCTGTATTCCACTTACCATGTCACAAGTTATGACATATTAAAATAACCGATAACGGACAAAAATATACAAATGATGCATGAATAACGTGATAATATTTTTTGCAGGTACCGATACAACTCCCCCAAATGCAGGCGGACCCTTACCAAGGCCAGACGCGCTTTTTACTCCACCCAGCGAGAGAAATCGTTACAATTTTACTAGTTATGTAAGAACAAAAATTAAGTGGTTTTAAAAATAGTTTTAATCGATTAAATTATTTTTAGAGCCATAATCCGGAAATAAATTCCCCCCCAGAATTAGGAGTGGAACCAATCAATACGTCAAATACGACGACTTTAGGGAGGCCTAGAGTTCGACAACGTGTGGAACCCCAATTTTCTAACTTCGCAACCATGCGTCGAGATCACATCATAGCGGATTCCATACCGGGGCCGGAAAGTTGTGTTTAAGTGCACCTGTGTTAAAACAAATTACATTACTAGAGTCCCAAGTTGATTTGGTATCACACCTATATTATTACTATCATTGTTCGTTATCATACGTCGATGCTTTTGTGGGGTTGTAAGATCTTATTGTATTTCGCGGATTTCCCATTCTTAACTAATATCGAAATTCAAAATCGTTTTAATCGTCTTACACCTTACAAACCTTCTAACTACAAAATTAAATAATATAAACCTATTTTTTAGATTTGAATAATATTTTTAGATGTAGTTCATTACAGATATAATGTAAAAAGCCTGTGATACAGGGAAAGCAGATATTGTTGTATACTGTAACTGTATTTAATGTTGAAACAATCAAGGGTGCGTGTCGTGGTAACATGTCTTCAAAGTATAAACTATAGATATAAAGAAAATTTTAAATCAACGAAGAACAAATCGAGATATTCGATGACCATATAGACAGTTTAAGAGGAAATATGTATAAATGACGGTAAACTGAGATAGGCCTATCTTGTGAATAAATAAAAGCGATTATTACTTTTAAGTTATGCAAAATGATTTAAAATTAACCCATTTGATCTATAAGCTCAGATATATACGAATGTTTCCTGGCTATTGTCACCATATCGATACACACGATTTCAATAGGGAGCAAAATAGACCCAATTATTACTACTTTTTTATAGTTAATGTATTAATTGAACTGAAACTAAAATTAACACCAGCACTATCATTAGAACTGACACTAGCTCAAGAACTAGAAACATTCGGATTTAGTCGTGCGTCTTTTAAGACGGCTAAACCCAAATGTTTCTAGCTCCTGGTCTAGTGTTAGCTCTAGTTTTAGATCAATAAAAATATACAACAATCTACCGCTGAATAACAACTAAAACTATAACTAACACTAGTACTAGCACTATCACTAGAATTAACACTAGGCCCAGAATTAGAAAAATTTAGGTTTAGCCGTCTTGAAAAACGGAAAAATATTAGTTCTAGTGGTAGTGCTAGTATTAGTTCTTGTTTTAGTGGTTATTCAGTGCTAGTTGTTGTATATTTTTAACGAACTAAAACTAGAACCAACACTAGACCTAGAAAAAGAAAGTTTCGAGCCGTGTGTCATCAGACGCAGTGATAATGACGTAGTGATAGTGTTAAGTTAATTATAGTTTTAGTGGTTACTCAGTGCTAGGCCATTGCATATTTTTATTGTACAAAAAATACATAAAATTCGAACTAGGAGGTAAAACTGTAGCTTCGCCAATTGATACGATGAAGAATTTGTGGCACTAGAAATATCTGGTCATTCCCTTTGTCAGTTTTTTCTCTGATCATCCGCAAATGCATTATAATTATAATTTATACACCTGTATATAATAAAAAAGTTTGGTGACATTAGCCACTTTGTCATATCTTCTGAATGATGCAAATGGGTTAATGAAATATTTTGAATAACTCTATAGCGTGTAAAATTGTAAACAATAGATAATATAAGCATAACATATAATTTTGTTACAGAAAAAAAGACTTCTATTAGATTATATGTTGATGATGATAAGCAATGTGTGAATTAAACAAGTAAATAAATAAATGTATATTAAGAAAGTAAGATAATAATAAGTAAAAAATAAATGATAACATAAAATAAGCTGTACAATTGTCATGAAATTGATACTGATTTGTAAATACTAGTTGAGATTCCAATGTAAAAATAAGGGCTTCATTGCTGTAATATATTGTAAAACTTTTGTATAAAAAGGAAAGACAAAACTCTTATTAGTTGGTGTGAGTACAATTATATTGAGCGAATGATGCGAGCCCGAACTTTACGCTTCTTCTATGTAAATATTATGAACCAATGAAAGGGTATTAATAAATACATGTCCGATTTCCATTTGTTTCTATTATATCTCAAATTAAATCATCAACACCCTACCCCATTTTCTCCATCCCCAATTCTGAATTATTCAAGGATCATTCACGAAATCCTTATTATATTTTCCTCTTCCCGTACCGCTATAACCGCAATGTTCAAGGTCGGTATAATATGCATACAAATGCCTTATATAAAAACAGAAAAAAAAACTACCCCATTTCGTATCCAGCTGCGCGTATCGACATGTAAGGCCGGAAGGATTTTTTCATATAAGCACTCACCCTATAAAAGGTATTTGGGCGGGAAGGTGATGGGTCCATTCTGAAAATCCAGGCCAGGATTTTCCTGCAAAGGATGAGCCAAGAACGGGAGCACTGCACAAGCTCTCTAGATGCTATAGTAATGACGGCTCGCTTGCGGCGTTACGCTATAACCTCTCAGAGCCGCCTACCGAATATTTCGCCTGAAATGGAACGATTCAGAGCTGCCTCTTTTATGCTGAAGTGAATTTTCTATCGACCGTCAAATACAGTTGGTATGGATTTCACTTCCGTTCTATCGTCTAAGTGATAATACCGCAAACCCATACGGTTTAAAAATATAATACAAATATTAAATACAAATAGTACTACTTATTAAAATGTTAAATTTATCGAGTATTACGTTATATGACCTCAATATCATGCATTCGGAACTTTGTGTTCCATCCACGGCCTGTTCAGGAGTCGCTGGCGCTGCGTCTCCACCTCTATAGAGCCCTCGTTTGTGTATGCAAAGAGGCTTATGGCTGTACCGCAAAAGCCACCCTTCTCGTGCTGTATCGGCCTGTACGTGAACGAAATCGGGATTTGATGTTGGTAGACATTTCAGCCTTACTTCGGCCCAAAACTCCAGTCACCGCCGATCTGCCCCTTGTAAATTACATCGAAACAATATACTCACATCTTAAACAGAATCCTCAAGTGCTTTTACCTGTATTAGCGATTTACTTGTAAACGTGGGATGTTGTGTATAGAGCCCGGCTGTATTTGTTGGAATATCAATAACCAAAATAAATTGTGGGTAGCCGTAATCGTAACCTAGTAAATATCTACGATAAATATTTTTTTCATCGGTTGCAGCAATTATTTTTACCTTTTTTTAAATAAAATCATAAACGTAAAATTTTAAAAATTGTAAATCTTAAGCAATCATACTACATTTATTTCTGCGCGTAATGAAATAATTCTTAACTTAATTTAAAGCTAAAAGTGTCCCTTTTAGAACTGTGTATAACTTATTAGGTCTTATTAAAAGCATTTGGAGATTTTCTTTTTAAAAATGGCTGTGCCTTTTATGGTTTTATTAAAAATTTTTGGAGATGTAGCTTAAAAATTGGAAATCTAAGTGTTAACTTTTTTAGTCAATTCCTAAAAAAGAATGGATAGAAAAATGACTATACTGATCTTATTTCTACGAATAATAAATTACTTTTGTCTTAAATTATAGTTAGAAGTTCAGCTTTTAAAAGTGTAACTTTTTAGGTTTAAAGGAAAATGATGGGAAGTACCTATTTCTTAAATATTAGAGTAGAGACGTTATAAACTAGTATTTTTGGGGAGCATATGTTCCTAAAAAGTAATAATTTCAAATATCCGTTACAACTGTTCCTCTGTTTCAACCGTTATACAATAGTGTACAAGGATACGATACTTAATCTGTACCTATATTTAATACTAGTTTGAGTACAATTTTTTCGTTTCAATTAAAAAAATATTCCATCAAAAATAAAGGCTTTTTTTGGTGTTCCGTTTAATAAATTTTAAAATTTGTTTGTAATGAAACTATCTTCTAGCACAGCGATTCCCAATTAAATTTAATTATAGACCCCCTAAAATCGTTTGTGTTCGCCATGAACCCCTATACTAAATAAAAAAATTAAACCCCTGAACAAATTAATAAACCGTTCGTTTTATATATAAAGGATATACTTTGTTTTATGTTTTAACTAGTATCACAAGGTACAAAAATAAATAAATTTAGAACGATCGGTGAACTCGCATTTCTTTTACAAGTTTCTCAAAGTTTGGTTGTATATTTTTCGACAGTTTAACGCGTAATTCGGCATCCAAATTAATTAATTCTTGATTTACTTTTTACTTGAAGTAACGACGAAAAATATTGTTCACAAAGATATGTGGTTCAAAAGGGTATTAAAATTTGCAAAGCTTTTTTTCCTAAATTCGGCGATTCATCGAAAACGTAAGCTTAGAAATCAGATTTTTTTCTTTGAAAGCCATTTGAAGCTCTCCATTGGTAACTAAGTCAATAAAATCTTCTTCCTTGATCTCCATAACTCCATATCCATATAATCTTTGATAATAAACGGATTGCGAATCCATGCCTTACTTCTGCCAGCAAGTGGAAAATATTCTCTGAAGGTGCTTCTTAGATTTGCCAAATAACACACGATTAGTTGTGCTTCCTCATTTGGAAGTGCATTTTCAGATATGTATAAAAAGTGGACAAGTTTGGAAATGATTCCACATTTCCGCTTTTGAGTCGATTCTCCCATAATTCCAGTTTCAAAATAGTTGCTCTTGTCTTCTACCTGGAAACAATACATTTAAATTTTCTGGGGAAAAGCGAAGCGATGGGATTGGAAACGTTGTTCTTCCATTAAGAATACATTGATTTCTTTACGTAATTTCCAAAGTCGACTCAGTGCTTTTCCCTTCGAAATCCACCTTATATTTATATGCATTAGCAGTGCATAGTGATCGCTTCCCATTTCTTTGCATAACTGTGAAAAAAGCTGCGTATTCAGCGCTCTACTTTTAATAAAATTTGTTATTCCGGTACACTCATGTAGGATCGCTTTTAATTCTGCAGGAATTCTTTTTGTAACCAACGCTTCTCGATGTATAGCACAATGGTACCACTCTGCAGATAAAGATACTTGCTTTATTCTCGCCTTCAGAGCTGTTATTCTTCTGGACATAGCTTTGGCACCGTTTGTGCTTACACCAACACATTTCGCCCAATAGATTTTGTTTTTATTGAAAAACGTATTTAATTTTTCAAAAATTTCTTCTGCAGTGGTGTTAATTAAGAAATGGCATCTTCATGCTTCTATCTTATACAGCACAATAAAACTGTATAGCAAACCAAAGTGATATACGAACTCTTTGCATTAATTGATCTTTTATGTTTTCTGCCATACTTTGAATTCTTCTCTGCACTGTATTGTTTGACAACGGAATTTGTGTAATTTCTTTGGCAGCTTGATCGCCAATTATTGCAGACACCATAATTTTTGCTGCTGGTAATATGAAATCTTCAGCAATAGTATGAGGTTTACCTTTTTGAGCTATTAGTTGGCATACCTTAAAGGAGACAATTATGGCTGAATTGTTTGATGCTGGTATGACAATGTGGGACAACCTTCTTTGAATGTTCTTCAATTGTTGTTCTTTCTTTTTAAAAAAATCCGTGGGTTTTTGCTGAAACTCTGGGTGCTTTGTTTCAAAATGGTGTCTTAACTTAGCTGGTTTCATAGAATCATTTGCTAGAACCTGGCTGCAAATAAAACACTGCGGTCGTGTTTTGTCAGATTCCGAGGACAGAAATTCTGTAAAACCAAAGGATAAATATTCTGCGCTGTATTGACGGGTCTTCTTCGTGACAGGAAGAGTAGGCGAGTAATTTCGATTACGGGAAGAAATAGTAGAAGGAGTCGAAACGTTTTCACCAGTGCCCTCGTTATCATGATCGCTTCTTGTATCACCTAAACAAGTACCGCCACTTAAATCTTGATTCCTTGTTTTTTGTGATTTCGGAATCAACCAACGTTCCATTGCTCTATAAAGGTAAATAATACTGCAATACTACTTTCAGATATTGTTTTCTGTAAAACTGTCTTCAAAGTTTTATTACTGAACAGTTTTCGCAGTAGTAATAACCGAAAATTTAATAAAAAATAACTAATGGTAGTAATTTGGACTCGAAAATAAAGGAAAACATTTTTTCAGGTCAGCATTGGTTTTCGATATATTTGACAATTAATAATTCTTATCATCGACACTAAAATTAAACTAGAAAGCAGGTAATCTCAACGAAAAAAAAAACAGTTTAAAAACCCAATTGGAAGAAAATTAAACAAAACTGAATCTAGAAATGAAAGAATATGTTTGTATTCTTTCATTTCGAGTTAAAACTGATTTTTCTACATGGAATTTGAGTAACGTTATCTGTTGTTTCATTACCCTGTAAAATAAAAAAGTAAAAATATATTCGTCTTTGCAACATCTACTCACCAAATATTGCTTGAAAAATGTCAATATTGAGTTTGGTTACTAAATTTCTTCTTTAAACGATTTTTGCGAAGCTAAACTACGAACACTTATAGATTTAAAAAGCAGGTAGAAAGAACTTATAATGACAAAGTAGTCGCTAAGAAACAAAATAATAAACTTAAAAAATCCCCCAAACGTTACAGATTTCTTCTGAGAGTAATATTAATATTTAAATTTTCACTTTTTTGTGATTTATTTACCTACATTATTTTTCACAAATGCGCCGTGAACCCCCAGTATTGTGGCAGTGGACCCCTAGGGGTCCAAGCAACCCTTATTGGCAATCGCTGTTCAAGCATAATTTAGAAGATTTTAAAATTTTATACTTATTTTGGTAATAAGCGTACCATACGAATTTTTACAAAAATAAAAACAACATAGGAGAATAAATAATTAATTAAAGCGGCTACGGTACGAAAAACTTCATAACGATAATTTGTTTTTAAGTACCAGTATCAGTTTAATTGGTAATTGTTGTTACAAAAAATACTTTCAAACTTTGTTTATCCTACTCGTACTGAGTAATAAGTAATGTTGAGAAGGAATCGATAAAGTTTATAAAACTAGTATTTTGTACCTATTATTTTTTAAGTTTAGTAACTATTCCTAGAACAACATACTAATACTTGTTCCAAAATAGCAAGTACAAGTGTTGGAGCTATAAGGGTCTCTCGTGTATTACCTTGGCGGCAAGTGACCTCGATTTATATTCTTCATTGTGTTCTTCATTACGACGTTTGCGCTATATTCTTAAGATTTTATCGTCTGCTGGCTCAGAGCGACCTTGGGTCATGTTCTTTATTGTCATGAAATATTCGTGCCGAAGCTGCTTGCGACCAAGGCACTACCTCCATCGCTGTTTATCTTTAATTGTTATCATTGTAGTAAACCCGGAAACAGGAAACATTTAAGCCAAGGTCACTTACAGCCGAAGCGCTACATAGTGGGGCGAAGCGCTCTTTGTTGTCCAAAACCTATTTTATCAAACATTTTCAAATCATAAAAAATTGTAAGAATGCAAAAAATTTGAAATTTTAGCGGAACTTCAAAACTTTTTATTGTAGAAATCATTTCGCAAACACTTCTGATTATTTTTATCATACAAACTTTGACATATATTCTATTCATTTTATACAAGAACATTACCTTTGCTAGTTTTCTTGCTAGATTTTCTTTTGTAAAAGACTGCTAGTTAATGAATAATTTATGTTTGAGTAGACATATCATTGTGAGCTAAATCTATCTACCTACGACTAGAATGTGGTATCAAAAGATTCCCCATTTAATGTAGAATCTGCTCATAATAAAATCTCGTGCCCGTTTTTGCCAGATTCGAAGATATATTTTTTTTTAATTGCCGCATGGTGAGCGAAATCCATCGGTACAACGTTATAGAGATCTCATAACAGAATTTAAATTTTATACTCTCAATTTGGTATTGTTTTGTGAATTCTAAAATAGGTTATTAATAAATTTATTATATATAATATTATTAAATTATATAATATTATTGTTTGTTACAAAAATTATTAATTTCATCGATGTTGCTTGTTTTCCATCTATTGTAGCTACATAGCAAAAAAGTTTTAAAAAAATATTTGGGTTTACGTATCAATACGGCAATACGGTATAGGTTATCGAGGTTGTTTGTTATAAAATTATCGTCAATTGTTTTCATATATTGATATTCGACTACACCGCAAAGAAAAACATTTTCGAAAAACATTTAGGTTTACGTACAAATACGGGTGTAAGTAACGTGACAATTAATAATAATTCTATTATTTTGTTGCTAAATACTATATTGAACATCATTTTTCTGTTCGTAATTATATCGCAGGACGTTTTAATTTATCTGAACAAGATCTCTTCAAAATATTCAACAACGTCTGCTGCCGTCTTTCAAATGTAAATGATCTGCATCTCATAGAATGAAAGAACGTTTTTAGAGCAACATTCTGAATGGTTAGATAAAGATTTCGTTGTGAATCTAAAAGAGGAAAATCTACCATCTACGTCTGCAGTAATCTCAGAAAAAGCCATCCGTGTAAAACATTTGATGATTCCAGTGAAAGGACAAAGAGAAGCAATTCCACTTACTTGCTGCAGACTGAAGGTTTGGACCAATTACGTCATACATTTTTGCAAGGACTACCAGCAGAAGTAGACGTTCTTGATGGTAACGCTCCAAACGTGTTTTTTTCCGACTGGCTGACTGGCTGACTACTGCACTTTCCGTTCTGGAAACAAATAAAAAATCTGTCCTGATTGGTACATAAGATTGAAAAAGAGACTAAAAAAACAAGTACAAGATCGATTTAGAGATGAGGTAGGTGTAATTGTTGATAAGCCTCGATAAGGTACCGAAACTACAACGATGGTAACTAGTGCTAGAAGATTCTTTTCTAATCCTTCTTGCACAACAAATATTACAGGAGTAGATGAGGATTTAGTTAAAAGGTTTTCCATAATTCTTCAACATTTAGCCAGCGGAAGAGCCATAGATACCAACGAGATAGGGGAATACGCATATTAAACAGCAAAACTTTATGTAACTTTATAGAACTTAAGAGCTACATAAAATGATACTACATGCTTCAGTACACAAAATACTTATTCACGGTGAAAACATCATATAATATGCTGTATTATCAACAGAACAACTTTCAGAAGACGCACAAGAAGCTATAAATAAAGATTAAAAAAAATACCGGTTGCTTAACGGAAATATTCAAGGATTGCACACCTCTGATCCATATATATATATATATATCATCAATTAGACATGTTATAGAAAAAAAAGCAAGTTAGATTTAGATTCAAAAGCCATAGATTTGCTAAAATAAATAATTATTAACTTTCCATCATAAGTGATTACATGTAGATTAATAAAAAGCAAGCATTATTTATTCATTAACAATAAATCTATCTTTAGATATCATTTGTGTCTTATTTTAGAAGTAAGAATTTTAACTAACTTGATTTCTCAATGATTTCCCTTCAAAGTATATATAAATTATCATAAAACAATGATTAAACCTTTTATATTATTTATTGGAACTTTACAGGGTTGCTATTAGGCGAACATCTTAACTAGCATATTTAAACATACTGTAAGAGTACTAAATGCCATTAGAATCGATAGGGTAATTTTTAAATAAAAGCAAAAAAGGGTTAGTTTACCCCATGCAACCCTCTGGCACATGTGTGATACATCAATGGAAAGCTCTTTAAAAATAAATATCAGTTTACATAAATATATGACTTTTCGACATATATTCCAGCTGCCAAGGTACTACTACGCTCGTACTTTCTCCTTAAGAGGATTCCTAAAAGGTGTACGTATTTTCGACCATTTCAAAATAAGAAAAATATTTTCTTATAGAGCTCTACATGTCCTGTAATATAGCCAAATATTATTAGCCGACATGAATATTTTCTTTAAGCATATTTTAGATGACCATCTTTGCATGTGTAAATTATTATTTTCAACAAAATAATGAGAAAAATATTATTTTTAAATTAAATCCTCTTGTCCTGAACTATACCGGATGAGGCATTTAAATTGAGACGACCGATTAGATAAAACTTTCATCATATGACGGGGAAAAATATTCTGTATAGTTTTCATTGCATTTTAGAACCACCATCTATGTCTTTCAATAATTAAGTAAGTTTTTTTAAATGGATACATGTATTTTTTCATAAGTATGCTATTCTCCATGACAAAATAAATAACTTTTATCTACGACTGCTTGGATAAGTCATCATTACCGCACTCATTTGAGGTGTTTTTAGTTACGTAATGAAGTTCATTACCGCACTGGTTTCATTACGTAACGCATTTTTAGCCTAGTCAGAACAGACTTAATTTATTGAAACGAGCAACAATACAAAAGAAAAAGTGCTATCTACTTACAGAGAAACAATACTATTTATAATCTGTTTTTTATTTAAATCAATTGTCAAAGTGTCGTTAAGTTGGTATTGAAAGTAAAAGCGCATGTCGTGACTTTTACTTTAATTGTGTGCCACCACTGTCTATCAAATTTGTTAAGATTGATTAAATAACACTTTTCATATAATTTTTTTGCTGCTAAATCTACCATAAAAATGTTAAGAAAGGGTGGAACGGGATGTAAACTGCCTAAACGCGAAAAAAACTCTATAATTAGGTATTGTGAAGAAGTACAGACGGAGACACCAAATACGAATTTAAAATATATATGTGATAAAGCTTCACGTATTTTTGATGTATGTGTATTGCACTTGAGTTTTAAAATTAAATTTATATTCAACATAATTGTATTAGGTTCACAGCACGACGGTTTTTAAAATTATTCAAACCTACAAAAAATATCAAACTGTAAAAAAACCAAAAACACAAGGGCGCTGTAAAATGAACTACAAAACGGATAATAATTTATATTTTATTAAAGAAGAGTTAGGAAGACAAATACAAAAATGAAAAGAAACAGTATTTTAATCTTAATGATTTACTTAATTTTGCAAGAAATGAATGTGATTTTACTAATGGTAGATCAAAATTACATAAAATTATAAAATCTAGGGGATATAGATATAAAAAGATTAGCAATAGAAAAGTGTTAATTGAACAACCACATATAGTTTCAAAAAGAATTACATTTTTAAAGACATACTTGCAATACCTAGAATCCGGAGAGTATACTTTTGTTTTTCTTGACGAAACTTGGATTTACGAAAATGGCACCCAAGTTTATCAATGGGTAAATGAAAATGAAAGATTCGGTATTCCGCAAAGAGCAGAAGGCGAAGGAAAAAGATTTACAATCTTGCACGCAGGCACTTCGTCAGGGTTTTTGCCAAATTGCGATCTCTTGCTCAGTGACAACACGGAGCACAGAGATTATCATAAAAATATGACGTCAATTATTTTTATGGAATGGGTGAAAAATCAATTACTTCCAGCATTAAATAATTTGGGTGCGAAGTGTGCGGTAGTAATGGATAATGCTCCATATCACTCAAAACAAATCGAGAAAGCTCCAAGTTTCTGCACAAAAAAAATGATATGAAAAAACGGTTAACTGAACATAATATACAGTTTGAACCAACCTTAAATAAAAAATCGTTATGGGAAATAATCCGTTATTACAAGCCTCAAATTGAAAAATCCTTTGAAATTGACAAATTAATAAGAGACCATGGCCATACTGTTCTTCGCCTTCCTCCATACAATTGCCAATATAATCCCATTGAACTATATTGGGCGTTCTTAAAAACTTATTACAATAAACATGTTCAGTCCAGCTCGGAGAAAAAGATCTGTCGTGTCAAGGAGACTTGGCAAAAAGCTCTTAAAGCTCTTGGTCATTACACTCCGGAGATGTGGGCAAATAGTGTTCGCCACTGTAAAGAACTAATTAAAAAAGATTGGACAACATTAATGGGAAATTCATTAATAACTGATTTACCTCCTGTCATCATCCAACTAGCGGAAAACTCAGATTCTTCCAGTAATTCTGATTTTTAAACAATATTCAAATTTTAATTATAGCACTTAATTATGTTATCTTAATATATTGCTCACGAGTTTTAATTTCAAAACGTAGATATTAGCCAAGTGACGAGAGATTAGTGGCTTCGTCTTTAAAGTGACAATCAGTGACAATTTCGTTTAGAATATACACAACCTTACTTATTATTTAGTGGAAAATATTATAAAGCGTGGTCATAGAACATGGTATCTAGGGTGGTACAGACCGTTTTTTTATAAAAATTTGGCAATGACAATTGATTTAAATAAAAAACAGATTATATTATAAACATTAATTGTTATGTTTTTACATTTCAAAACACTTATTCCAGATGAGTAAACGTTGTTGAAACTGACAATTCAAAATTGTCAACAATCATTTCAAAATATTTTTATAAATGTCAAATAGACTTTTCTAAAGAAATTGATTTTTTAGTAATTTTTAGCAGTCGTAGATAAAATGCTGTATATCACACGTGGGCTAGAGCAGAGTTTCTAGCCCACTTGTAATATAAATAACTATTACTTAAAACATTTTTTTATTTAATGATTATTACGCATAATAAAAATTCAAAGTGTAAAATCAAGTGTATCGAGGTCGCTTGAGTTTGAGGTATTACAATGTCCGTGGTTTATTCTTACAAGTCTCTATTGTGCCGCCTCGGTCACAAACGACCTCGTCTTATATTCTCATGATATATTCAAGCAAAGGACGCGTACGGCCGAAGCACTACCACTTTATCCTTAATGGTATCTCTACAACTGCCTCGGCCGCGAGCGATCTCGATTTATATTCTTGGATGTTATGAAATATTCAAGATTTGTCGACCTCGGCTAGAATATTTCATGGCAAATAGAAACACGCGATCAAAGTACTGATTTTGAATGACTTGTTGTTTTAGTTACTCATTACTAAATTATTTTAGTTAGTTTCTAATATCAATCCCGACTAAAAACCACATCACATAAACTTACGAACATCCACTAGATAAAGGTATTGACGAAGATCAGGAATTTAATTGGACAAACTGATTTCATAAGATCTTAAATATCGCAAACTCATTACACTTCTCCGAGGTTTAAGAGAAATTGCAAAACATACATTTGGTATTAGAATCAACGCCAAATAGCGTAAAGACGAGCTTCAACTCATCTTTGGTCAGCGAGTGATTAAAACTTTTTCATCGTATCTCCAGAATCAGTCTGATGTCAAAAATCGTATGATCGTTCGATTATAAAAAAGGGATATACATTATTGACTATTTTATTTTTTTTAATATATGTATATCCAACATTGCATTTGCAATTGACACCTTTGTTAGTTAATAATTGATCATATCTCTATTTTTTGTATCGTTTTTGGTTTAATAAGCCTTCAGGAGATAATTCAATAGAACTTCCTAGCTGGTTACGGTTATAATTTTATAAGCGTATATTGCAGTAATAGTCAGCTTCTGGTTTAAACTTCGTATTTGAAATAATACAATCCGTTCATCATTTGAAAACTTATCTCTAGATAATACAACATTATACATATTGTAACGTAATCCTTACTTTCTACTAATTTAACTTTAGCACAAGTAATCGCAGGAAGCAAGCGTTCTTCATTTGTGTACTTTAAGGTTGAACTTTATATTGATTAATGTTATACAGCATTTCACCCCAACAAATAAGATTTATGTAACTAAGCGTACTAAAATGTTATATATTATGTTTATATAGGTACTTCCGAAATTACCTACATTTTGGTAAAAGAATAAACAGATTTCCCTTTCTCTCTAATGAAGCAAAATTCTCCATAGGTTTGAGATTACTCTCTCTGTACCTGGCAATACTGTAATATTCCGATTTCGAAATTCGTATCCTGTATCTCTCACTGGTAACAAACAACCTAACAAATACCTGGAATTTTTCGTTAATATATTTTTATTTTTAGAATACATAGCGTAAAACTTCTACTTTGTATTAATTAACTAGTATACAAATTATCTTACTTTTCTATGTATGATGTAGGTGAAATTAATTCCCTTTAATACTCCCATTATCTTCACGAGCTCCAATTTCTACAACGTAATTGTCTCATCCTCTCACTTACAATGTAGCCTTCCCAAGTGCCTATATCCCACTGGAATGCTTTGTCCTTCGACGCTAGATGCATTCCAGCTCTAGGAGAATTTATATGTATCTGTATAACGGAGCATAATACATTTAATACGGTTCTATTGTAGCTATCATCTATAATATGGTTTAATTCTAATATTGCACCAGCACGTTACAGAATGTTTTCATTTAACATTGGCCGAGATAAATTTTTGTTTCAATAAATAAATATTTTAGAACTACATAATTTAGAATATCATTTAAGAATAAAATGTACCTACGTATTGATTTAATGACAAATCAATTTATTACTAAAATATTTTATTTCGATAAAATTCGCATAATAATCCTGAAGCAATATGGAGGATGAAATTGAATTCACCAACGCCAATGACGTTCGTTTGTGATAGGAATACCTAATATCTCGATCCATTAATATTCCGATCAACATGTTACACAGATTAACTTGTAATAAATTTTGAATCAAATTCAAAAGATTCATTTTACGCAGGGGTTTATTTCTTATATTTTTTCGACATTCCTTAATATTAATATTTATAATGAACTATAGAATATTTAAGAACGTTTTATTTGAATTAAGTAATGTTGATCCATCTAACACTTTATAGTCGAAGTATATCCTTTAAAGCAATAGATGACGATAACACAAGGTAAATGTAAAGGATTCTGCGAGGTGTATAACCGATCAATAATGGCGCATTCGTAGCATCTCGTCAAAAGGTGGCGCTTAAAATTCTAGTAAAGTTTACATAAATTGTTCATAAAACGTGTACACTTAATAGCATTTGTACTACGTTTTCCAAAAAAATGATAAGAATTATAAAGGTAAAGCTATGAATCTACGCAGGGTAGGTTAATTATTTATTTTGAAAATCATTTCATAAGACACTACTGACTAATTATTATTAATTGATAAGTACATACTGCAGAGAAAAAATATGTAAAAGTATAAGCTTTAGTATGGTTAACAGTATCTAATCTTCTATCAGCAGTATTTAACCTTCTATAATCAGCAAGTAGTATTCAGAAATAACCCATGCGGATTGAGAGGTTTCCGTCCAATCGAAAAGCCCCTTTGTCTAATTTGAAAATGGTTATTTTAAATGGTTTTTTTTTAATGCTTAATTTTATTAGCCCAAATAGTTTAACATAAAAAACTGTTTATCACTATTAATTTTTCTGGGAAATAGGTTAATCAGCTTTTATTGTATTAATTAATAAAAATTAATAGAAAATCAACTAAAAAACATATTGGTTAAGGTTAGCTTTCTTTACTACTAAAGAATGTTGAGTATAGTTAGTTTTGTTTATATATGTCAATCATTTTCTTTGGAAATGTTAATCATCGCAAGGAAGATTGTTGGGTAAGGTTAGCTTTCTTTTGAAATGTTAAGCATCCAGGGAAAAAATGTTGGGTAAGGTTAGTCTTGTTTACAAATGTCAATCATCTTAGATCGGCCCAATTATCATGAAAAAGTTAGATTTTATGCCGCAATAAGTTTTAATCCGCGACTTGATTATAATTAAGAAATAATTAGTGATGATAATTATTAGAATTTATACTTTTCTTCTGATAATTAAGTTGTGGTCGCTTGCGTCCGAGGCGATGCGATGTAATAACTAGTTTCAGGTAGAATGAAAAAATTGCATTTTTTTTATCGAACGGTTGCGGAGATATCGATCTCTAAATTGATCTAAGATTGATTGGCTTTTGATACAGATAGTAAAAAGGTGTATTTTGACTTCTCCTTTACCTGGGCATGGGACCAGCAGTGGATCATTGAGCTATGTAATCCACCCAGCAGTTACCACAAACTGAGTTATATCTAGTTTTTAATTTGCAGTATCTTTTCTATTATTACCAGTATATTGTTATCTTTCAGCAGAACTCAATTTTCTACAATTAGTAAGTAGCATTCTGCATGATGTGTTAGGTTTCCTCTTTCCACTATCAAGGCTTCTATTTGCAGTATATTCTTTTCTAAACATAGTACGTAGTCTTTAATTGCAATATCTAGTCTTCCATTACAAGTAGATTATAATATTCCAACAATAATTAATCTTCTACAAGTAGTGACAAGTAGACAAGTACTAGTCTTGTCTTTGCAATATTTAGTCTTCTAAATATTTGTAGCATTTAGTCTTCTAACTGCAGATCAAGTCTTCTATATTAAGTATCTTGTCTTCATTACAAGTAGAGGCATTACAGTATACAGCAACCTAGGCTAAATCAAATGACACTTTCATCATAACTAAGCCGAGGTCACTTGCGGTCGAGGCATTAGAGTACACGTTGTCCAATATGGTAGCAGTTGTATTATCTCGTCCGCAAGCAACCTAGGCTTAATCAAATGACAGGTTAGTCATAACTAACAGAGCTCGCTTGCGGCCGAAGCATTAGAATATATGTTGTCTAAAGGTGGGTTCATGCAACGTGTTTTAGTCGTAGTTGTTGGCATAGTCGTAAGAGTGAAAAGTTAAAGTATTGTGTTATAGTAGTACTGTTCATGCAGCACCTTACGACTAAAATGGTTTTTATCGTAGTCAAAAGAGTTGCCCAACTTTTAAGTTCTTAAAGCTAAAACAATCGGTCGTAAGGTGACGCATTTTCCCTTTTGTGTCCTTGTAATATAGCAGTGTTTTGTTTTATTTTATAAATTGAGGTTATGTCAGTTGTTATATGTATTTTATTGTATTAAGGTTGTTGTGCGTTATTGTTTCCACAATTATTTCAATGGAGTTAAATGCGGACCAAATTGACTCAAAATTAATAGAGTTGACAAAAGGGTATCAATATCTTTAGGATCCACAACATAAAGACCGTAAAAATAAATTAA